ACATCAGAGTTAATGTTTCAGGTCCGGTGAAGCTTCCTCAGAACCGATTTATATTCTGCATATAAACTGACGTTTTCCCAGCCACCATCAGTTCTGAGGAAGGGTCACAGGACCCGAAATGTTAACACTGAGTTTTCTTCACAGGTGCTGCCAGACCTGCTGAATTAATGTTTTCAAATTATTGTCACATCAATTTAGTGCATCAATAAGGAAATGAAGATAGGATCTTGGAATAATTGTTAAAAGGTGTTGTCATCATATGGTTGCAAAAGTTGATAATGACAGTTTTGAACAAAAAAATGTGACCATATGGCAATATTTCAGAAATTAACAGAATTATACAGCATATAAATGGCTTGCAAGGGCAGGTCACACAGTGGTAGCATCCCTGATAGGTTGATTAAAAATATTCACAAAGCATTTCCTAATAATAGTGGAATACTCTGTTTGTTAGAAAAGATGCTAGCAAACAAGAGTTTTGCTTAAAAAAAAACTCTTTGCCAAAACAAAACAGGAAGCTTTGATGAAATGTGTTTTTCCAGCAACACTCAAGTTCTGTACTACCAAACAAGCATTGCTTCAGTAACAGTATATTTCCACTAACTGATGTCACCAAAAAAAAAACACAAGACATAATTCCACCCCCCACCCCTCGCTGGAGATGGTGTGAAGGGGAAATTAATTGGAGGATTTGGCTCTGGAGAGATACTTGGCCCCCTTCCTGCCACCTCAACGATTAAGTGCTTGATGAGAAGATGTATTGGGGACTTTCTCAACTTGCCAGTAATTAAGGCCTCAAATGGTCAATTAACAGCCTGTTCAAGTCTTCAATGCACCACTCCATCAATTACCTGGCAGAATGTATCTGGTTTCCTGACTGGGTAACCATGGTAACCCGCCTGTCAGATTTTTTTGGTAGGCAACTTCAATTACTCCAATCTGAGGGCAACTGGACCCAAGGATGGGGAGGCAAGAGTGTGGCCACTGAAAACCGCCAAGCTGTCCTTGCCTCAACGCCACCTGCTTTCCTTTGCGGTGCAGTGGTTATTTACAATGAAAGCTCTCTACAACAGAGGGCAAACTTTGATATTGTTCAATTAGAAGTGCTTCAGTCAACTGTCGCCGCTTTAATTTGCTTATTGCTTAAATTAAACTTAATGCTATCAGAGATAAAGGCTCAAAATTGTAACAATATTGGTATTACTATAAACACAAAACAGTTCATATCTTTGTTAAAAAAACCTTATTTTATCAAAGACTAATAATGTGTCTTTTTTTACACAATGATTGTTCCAATCTTGCTAATAAATTTCTGTAACTGAACAAAAAAAAGCTTTATATAAATACTAACACTATACTGAAGACCAATTTGTTCAATTGTTTATTACAAGAGAATCTCATTAGTTGACATACATCTTCAGCTTTCTCATAAGTGTGAGACAAGAACATCACAACTTACTGAAAATTCTATGTACACAATAAGCTACACTATATAAACATCACTCACATCACACACAAGAAGCCTATTATTCTTCTGCAATGCGCAGCAATACAGATCTCCATTTAGCTTCTGGCACAATAAAAGGAAGAAGCAAAAAACTATATATTTTTACAGCACATTGCGTACTCTCAGGCACCCAGAAAAGATTAGCCAATGAAGTTCTTTTGAAATATAATTACTATTTTCAATGGATAGAAATGGAGTTGGCAAACAAAAGTACAAAGGAACCTACTCTAAATCCAAGCAAGAACCCAAGTGCTAAAATCCTGCCAGACCTGCAATCTGTATATAATTTTTACTACAGCTTACACTACATTTCCATACTGGATATTTGTTAGACAAGATTACCTAATAAAGCTTTAAAACTTATACTGATAACAACTTCTGAACTCCAAAATGTCCCACTGACTTGTGATTCTTTATATGTTTACTAAAGTGTTTGCCATAAGTAGCAAGGCAACTCGTTTTATTCTTTGATGGTTATGTTTCTGAAACTTTCTCCTAATTGGTTATTTACCAGTTTCAAGATACACCACTACCACACTGAACTGCTCCCCCACATCATATAATGGCAAAAAGTAAGACTGGCAAATACTGCTGCCTCAGTGCCACAAACAAATTTACATAGTGCACAGTAACGAGAAGGTTTGAGTTTATTGTTCAGTTGTCTGACCTAGGATGAGCCTAAAAAAACCTCTAAGACTTATCTTACAATCATGCTTCCTCCAGGTACTGCAATATAAAAGACAAGATGATGCTGGAACGTCTCCAAATGGGACAGGACCCAACACCCACTTCCATTTTCCCGAAAAACCACCCCCCGCACAGTAATGTGACTGCAGTAGGATGTTGAGGTGGAAGTGGATGACGGTAAGCAAGTATAGAAGAAACACAAAAACAAAGGCAAAATAAACCAGGGAAAAGAGGAGGAAAATCAAAATAGAATTTCCTTTGAATAATTTTTTTTTGAAAACATAAAAATCTTCACCTTGAGGAAATGATTTGCAACTTTTAAAATAATATGAAACAAAAAGAAATGTCGAATAGTATAGACAGGAAGAAGTCATTCAGCCATTCAATATGTACCAGTTAGACAGTCATACAGCATGGAAAAAGACCCGTCTGTCCAAAAAGTCCACGCTAACCATCTTCCCAAAGCAAATTAGTCCCACTTGCCTGCGTTTGGCTTATATCTCTCCAAACCCTTCCCGTTCACGTACTTATCCGAATGTCTTTTGAATGTTGTAACTGTATCTGCATCCACCACTTCCTCTAGCAGCTCGTTCCACACACGAACCACTTTCTATGTAAAAAAGTTACCCTAATGACCTTTTTAAATCTTTCTCCTCTCACCTTAAAAATATGCCCCTTCTTTTGAACTCCCCAACCTGAGAAATTACTCTTGCTATTCACCTCATCCATGCCTTCATGATTTTATAAACCTCAATAAACATCACCCCTCAATCTCCTACGCTCCAGTGAAAAAAAGTCCCAGCCTAGTTTAAATGACTCAAATCTTCCATTCCTAGCAACATCCCGACAAATCTTTTCTGAAGCCTCTTCAAAAGGCATAATTGCACGTTTACACTTGTACAATTGTACATTTTCTTTTCAAAAGTAATCTGGTCAGTCCCACTTATTGGCTTGGTCCACCTTTGCTATCACTTCAACTGTTTCTTTTGGCTACCAACCCTGAAAACAGTTGAGTTTTATTTATTCTATTTAAACCCTTCAATATTTTAAAAGCATCTCTATCAAATAGCCCCTTAAGCATCTCTGTTAGAAGAACAAACAAATCTCCAATTCCCCTTTCCTGGAAAAATTCTAGTTATCTTCCCTGGAACCTACCTAACATTCATGTCCTTGTTGAAAGGAAATGTGGAACACAGAACTGAATAGAGCAGTAAGCCAGATTCAAACTTCTTGTGTTTTATATAGGTATAGCATTACTCAATGGCTTTTTTTTTGTTCTATGAGAGGGTTGACCTATGATGAGAGGCAGAATAAGTTCTCTGGATTTCACAAAAATGAACTGTGATCTCTTTGAAACATTCAAGATTATGAAGGGGCTTGGCAGGCTTGACACTGAGACATTGTTCTAGATTCCACAGCCAGTGAAACAGAGGGTTACAGTTTCAGGATAATTTGATCATTTAGGAAGGAGATAAAGAGAAATTTCAGAGGATTGTGAAACTTCGGAACTATCTACCTTGGAGTGTTCTGAATGCACAATTATTGAAAATGTTTAAAGCCAAAGAAGGATTTTTAGTCTCAGAGAATATGGGGAACAGGTGAGAAAGTAGACCTGAAGCTCAGGATTAGCCACAATCATGATCAACAGAAAGCAGTCTACTCTTAATCCAATATTTTACATTCTTATGCGGTAACCTTTTAAAAATTTAAGACATTTATATTGACAAAAAGATAAGCCATCTCTTACCTGGTGCTGGAGGGTTTGTTGTCATTTCTGTCGAACAGCCAAACTCTATAGAAAAAGAAGAAAAAATGTTAACTAATTACCAATAATCGATATTTGAAATTGACTGCCAACTGAGAGGAAAGAATTGTGGAAACAACTGCAATGTAATCTTTTCTCTCTCAAAATCAACCAAAGATGATACTGAATGCACACGTCATGCAGAGGATTTCCTAACAGGTGCAGGTTAGGGTGGATTAGCGATGGGAAATTCAGGGTTACAAGGGGATAGGGTTGGGGGGAGATGGGTCTGAGTGGAATGCTCATCAGAGGGTCAATATGGACTCGATGGGCTGAATAGCCTTATTCTACAATGAAGGGATTCTGTGATTCTATGAATTTAAGCAATGGCTGTAAATCAACAGAACTGCATTGTCCCATTTCAACTCTGTAGTTAAATGTTGCTTTTAAAGTTTTGACAATCAAGCAATGAACTGTCTGTCTAGCAGAAAATGAAAGAAAACTTCAGCACTGGTAGTTTGTAGTAATTTTTGGGCCCTCTTCTGGCACAATAGTGCTCCTATCCCTGGGCCGGGAGGCCCAGATTCAAGTCCCGCCTGCTCCAGAGGTGTGTAATGACATCCCCGAACAGACTGATTAAAAAAAAAGTACCTAGTAATTTTTTGGACATATTTTGAAATGCAGCTGGAGTGCTTAAATGTCAATAACTCTCCCATTAGTACAGATGTGCTGGCCACTTGTCCAGATGGTCTGTGGCAATGGTATTCAGTCCAGTAATTAACACAGTATTTTTATTATCTCAACTTGTCAAACAAAGTTTGAAAATCTGCAAGCAAACTTGAAAACAAAAAACTGTTTCTTCAAAACCAACCTGAAGCTTAGATGCAACTAATAATCTCCAGAACATTAACGAAAGATGTGCATTTATATACTGCCTTTTATGAGCTCAGGACATCACAAACTAGTTTAACGCTGTGATAACATATGATTTGCATTTGCTAATTCGAGTATGGAAAGTTCCCAGAAACAGCAATGAGAAAACCAAAACAAAATTAAGGATGTTGCTTTAGGAGTGGCTATTGCCTTGGACATTGGGAAGAACTGCCATGTACTTCATTAACATAAAGCTGTGGATTTTTTTACATCCTTAATTTTAGGCAGACGCAAGAAATCTTGATACCTTTTCAAGGTCAGTGTGAGTACCATCAGCAACAGCACCAAAGATGATCTTATAAAGTTTAATTCACCTGTGATACTGACACCGATTTAGTGGTTTCCAGAACAACCAAGAATGGCTATTTGGAGAATCACACACACTGTACTCATCACCTGATATAAAGGACTCAAAGCAGCAAATTGGTAAAAAGGAAAATTCAGGTGTGCTATTTTCAGTCCTGTGCTCACTTTCAATGATCTGAGTTAATGTTTCATAACACTTTCCATTTTAAATTGCACATTAATTTTTAACCAGGTCTCGTAGTTGCACATGTTTACAATCTGCACAGCACCCAATTCCACTAATTACAAACAAGCATAAGAGATTCCAGGAAGAAAGAAATATATTAAAAAGGAACAACCAGAAAGACAGTTAAACCCTCTCATGCAATTTAATTACATGGTCTTTTAAACAGAAAAGACAATGCATCATTTTTTCAAACCATTTTCCAATTGAGATTTCCAGATGCTAAGTTGTAGGACAATTCCAAATACAATATAATACTAATCAGAAAGCAATGTCCTCTGGAACTTGACACAGTATGGCATGAGTAGGGAAGCCAATCTTGTATCTGGATGGAGCTGTTCATATTAATTGGCAAATAATTAAGAAGTTTGAGTTAGAGTATTGGAGACTTGTTGCCAAAGCAAAATACTGCAAATGCCAGAAATCTGAAACATAAACAGAAAATGCTGGAAATATTCAGCAGGTCAGGCAGCATCTGCAGAGAGAGAACAGTTAACATTTAAATGACACAAAGATCATCTCATGACAAGTCACAAACCTGAAAATGTTACGGTTCTACGTAGTTTACTTGAGGCATCAACAATTGGATCAGCAAGTTGAAAAAGATACCACATGGAAAAACGAAGAACTGTTGAAATGCAAACTAGAAGTCTTGCTTGTGAAACTCCAAACTTGAAAGAACTTGATGAGAAGCAAACAGACTGATACAGAAAATTAAATCTGCATCTCTACAGACCCTGGATCAATCATTAGCATTAAGTCTCAGCTTAATAGTTTTTTTTGTTTACTCGAGATATTAATGTATAGGGCAAAAGCAGGATATGGAGTTAGATCACAGTTCAGCTATGATCTCCGAATGGTGAAGGGGCATTTGCACAATGTAGCTGGTCTACAACCAGTGGCATCCTACCTCCACACTTATTAATAAAGTGATTTTGGAATAGGACATGTTCAAAGGAAGACACTTTATTTAAGTCTGTCACTTTATTTATATTTCCTGGATACAAAAAGTATGCGACAGCCTGAAGATTTTTTGAAAATTCACTCAGGCTACTAGAATCACAAGCAAGGCCTGCATCACCGAACACCCCTAGCGCAGATGGATTGGGAGTTTCAAATTAAGATGGTGTGTCAATTGGAGGAGAGCAACATCGGCTTCTTGTGTCCTCTAGGTAGCGGTGCCCAGAATTTGGGAGGGGCTGTCACCAGGTCCTTAGTGTTACTTTGCTAAATATTTAGACAGATTTTTGATTTATAACAAAGTCATGGGTTATAGGGGCCACAGATAGGAAAGTAGAGCTAAGATCACAATCAGATCAGCCATGATCTTATTGAACGATAGAGCGCGCATTCTAGGCTGAAAGATCATTGCTGGTTTTACACTAATGAAAGCAGATACATCAAATGGTCAAGAGACTTTCTAGCCATCAGTCTGCACACCACATCACCACATGATTCACCGTTATACAGATTAGCCAAACATAACCTGTGGAAAGTATAAAAGCAGCACTCAAGAGTGGCAGAGAGTCATACAGCACGGAAACAGACCTTTCAGTCCAACTCATCCATGCTGATTAGATGTCCCAACCTGACCGAGTCCCATTTGCCAGCATTTAGCCCACATCCCACTAAACCCTTCCTATTCGTATACTCATCCAGATACCTTTTCAATGTTGTAATTGTACCAATCTCCACCACTTCCTCTGGCAGCTCGTTCCATAAATGCAACACCCTCTGCATGAAAAAAAAGTTTCCCCTCAGATCCTTTTCAAATCTTTCCCCTCTCACCTTAAACCTATGTCTCGTAATTTTAGACATACCCAACCTAGGAAAAAGACCTTTGCTATTCACCCTATACATGCCCCTTTTATAAACCTCTAGAAGGTCATTCGTCAGCAGAGTATCCTTCATTAACTAAGAAAGAAAATAAACAAATGGCAAAACTATCCGACTATCAATCCGTCTAAGTACAAATTATTCGACCTTTTACAAAAGGAAAGCAAATTGCAAGTTAAACTTACAACAGAATCCGTGCTGTCAGCAACTGGCAAACGCTCGAGTGAACAAGCAGCCGTAAGTGATTTTCAGTAAAAGACTGCATGCATGGCAAGTATAAAAGTAAAGAGACTGACCCATGGTGGAGTTGGCAAGATACTGCTAGGCCGTGCTGTCACTGAGCTCAGACGGAGAGAGCAATACTCAGGAGGGTTGCGACTGACGTCACAGCGGTCAGCGCCGACAGCGAGAAGGGGCGGGGACAATGTGTCGGGCAGTCGGGGGGCGGGGCTTCTCCTCCCCGAAGAGCCAGCCTGAGACTTATCCCAGCTGTGGGCAAATAACCACACAATTAACCGGATACTTGGCCCGACGTCCACCTTACATCTACTACATAGACCTACCGAGCAACTCCTCTCTCTCCTACGCCTTCTTGTCCCACTTGTTATTTATCTCCACTCATTCGGCCAAAGATGAGTTTAAAATGACCAGGCCGCCCGCCCGTTGGGCAGCCTTCTTGACGCACGCGCGCGACATGTCCCGGATGCTGCGCCTTGACGTCACCGGACCGCTTCGCGCAGGTGTGGAGCTATCGGCGGCCGAGGACTGGGACAAAGTCGAGATGGACCCGGGTTCTCGCATCTTGGCCATCGTTTCCATTGAATCTCACGGAGTTACCAACTCTCCGAGCTTGCCCTAATGTCTGCACGTTATGCATTAATCTAGACTCCGCTTAGAGAAATGCATGAGGCAACTCATAGTAAGGGCAATAACAACGCTTCCTTTTTGGTGCACCGACATTAGCAATACAAATATTGGTAGTGGGAGAAAGAACTTGACTGGCGAGTAGTGGTGGGTTGCAGTATGTCGTGTGATGGTCCTCGAGGGTATGCCTAATGGGAGTTGTCAAACTTAAAATACCGTTGGATGGTAGATATTTTCTTACCAACCTGTTCAGCGAAGAGATTGTACACCTCTTAGACCCCAGACTGTGCTTAAGAAGTAGGGATACGACCAGTGTTCCACAAGAACCCCAACTGTGCTACTAGAAATAACTAAGATAGTGCACTAGTGCTAACCATCTCTTGTACTAATGACTGGGATGTGAGAATTTGAACCATCGGAACACCAAAGTTTATCTACCATGTAACAGTTATTACACGAGCAATCTGTACCACTGCTCATCATGATGGATGCGTGCTCTTTTCTATTGCATGCTATAGAATAGATTTGTAAGGTCTCCAGGGCCTACTTGGTTTAGTGGGTATAGGAAGACCATTGACTGGTCTATGAGGTTGTTGTTTTGAACATCAAATAGTAATTTTAGCAATTAGTTACAGGCTGCACTGATTTGAGAAACATTGTTACAGAAATTCAGGAGAACCTGGAATTTACATCTTACTAGTCTGAGATTCAAGCCTGCTTTGGTGGCACCATGACGTGTGGAGTTTAAGGCACACCTCAATATTAACTCTTTCAGTCACATAATAGTTCTCCCCAAGATTTTTTTTCCCATGACAGATTCACATTCACCAATACCCTATCTTTCAACTTACTTCCAAGCCTCTGAATTCACAAGTTCAGGCTGCTGTGAAACATGACTGATTCATAACCCAATATATTCATAAAAAGCATTAATTCTCTTAATTTGACATAAGTCAATGACCTACAAAATGCACATAATTACACATTACAGCCTTTCTGTGTTACAGTAACCACAGAAGGATTGTGTTTGGTAGAATCTGTGAGAGAGTAGTACCACAGGCTAGCAACTAGGCTTAGCTTTTTAAAGGACTAAACTCAAATGAATGAGAGAATAGTTTAAAGTACGTTATAAAGCGGAGGTTGACCCTCCCCTCTGCAAGCCAAAGCCGAAACACCCAAAAAGGAGCACCTCGCCCTATAGTCTGTAAAAGGAGTGTGAAAATTGGTGTAACCTGCCTTTCAGCAACTTCTAGTGGTTGAATAAAATAAATCCCACACACTCACTTTAAAATCAACAAGTAACAATTTATTTATCTAACTCTAACAGTGAACAAATTAACTAAACTATTAACAAACTGAATAAACCCCCATCTAATTACTAACTATTCTCAAATAAAGCGAGATTCTAATGGTATGCTGTACCAATGAATACAAGTCCCACCTGTATAAAATAAAAATAAAATTCAGACTCTCGGGTTACGTATCTTCCGGAATGTTCTGTGCTTTCTCTGTCGATTCTTCTGTAAGAAACATTAGCTGGTTGTGTCGTGGGTACCTTTGTTATTTAAATGGTACTTTCTCTAAAAGCCACTGATTCTTTTGAGAACTGAGGGCTGTTTGGTCTGGTGGATGGCAGTTAGTTCTCTAGTTTTGTCCAACATCCCCCTTCTTTTATACCCTTGATCAAATATCAATATTTCTTACAATAGGATTGGTCCTATGTTGTCAAAACCATCAGATTTAAATTTAATAGATTTTTTGGGATCTAAGTGCCTGGTTCAAATTGATTGGCCATTTTCAAAAGCTTGTTGTCTCGGTAAAAACTGCTGCTTGGCCTGCTAATTCTATGGCCTTTTGATACAAATGTTTCAATTCAAGTGATGTAAGTAGCTTGTCCTACTTTTTCCACACAATCCTCCAGTCTTGGAATTGGGTATGAGGCAGATTTGGACATGGCGTTGACCTTCCAATAATCCACGCAGAATTGTTGAGTACCATCGGGTTTGGGAACTGACACGATCGGTGAACTCCACTCACTTTGACTTGTCTCTATGATGTCTTCTTGCAGCATTGCTTCCGCTTCCTTCTGAACCTCCACTGCTTTGAGAGAATTAAGCCTATAGGGGTGTTGTTTTTTGGAACAGCATTCCCTATGTCAACGTCATGTACTGTGGCATTAGTCCTCCCCACTCTATTTATACATAGGTCCTCATAACACTGTAACAAGTCTTTCAATTTAGTTCTCTGTTCTGGGGTCAGATAGCTCACTACCCTACCGCATTCCTTAAGGACTTCCTCATTATTCAATTTATTCTGAGGCACATCAAAATCCAAATCATCTGGATTTGATTACTCATTTTGAGTGGCAATAACTAATACCTATTTCTCCAGTTCCCTTTCCCTGTCATAGGAATGTTTCAGCATGCTCACATGACATACCCAATAAATTTTTTTTCTCTATTTGTCATCTTTACCAGACAATTCACCTGACTTAACTTCTTCCCAATCTGATAGGGACCATTAAATCTTGCTTTGAAGGGATCTCATATCAGTGGTAACAGCACCAAAACTTTATCTGCATGGATAAATGTAGACATTTTAGATTTCTTATCTGCTCTTGGCTCATTAGGTGCTGTGCCACCTTCAAATGTTGTCTCGCTAATTCACCAACTCTGTTTAATCTTTCTCTCACCTCAGATACATAATCCAACTGTGAATCTCTTACTTTGTGTCCGAACATCAATTCAAATGGAGTAAACTGAGTCAATTCATTTGGAGCATCTCTAACAGCAAACGGTATAAATGGGATACCTTTATCCCAAACATTTGTGTAATCCTGGCAATAAACCCTCAACATTGTCTTTAGGGTCTGGTGCCACCTTTCCAATGCTCCCTGGGATTCAGGATGGTACACGTTTGATTTAAAGTGTTTGATGCCTAAACTATCCATGAACTCCTTAAATAGCTTGGCAGTAAAATTGGACCATTGGTCTGACTGAATCTCCCTGGGTAGACCATAACGGGTAAAGAAGGCAAGCAACTCCTCCTCCTTTTTTGCCTCAACATTCCATAATGGAATTGCCTTTGGAAATATGGTAGATACAACCATTATGGTTAGCAAATACTGGTTCCCACTTTTGGTTTTAGGGAGGGGACCTACACAATCAATGATAACCCCAATGAAACGTTCTTCAAATGCAGGAATTTGCATCAAAGGCACTGGTTTTATTACTGCCTGTGGCTTTCCTACCATCTGACACATATGACAGGTACGGCAAAATTCAACCACTTCTTTATGTAATTCAGGCCAGTAGAAATGCTTCTGTATCTTAGTCTGAGTCTTCCTCAACCCTAGATGACCTTCTGCAGGTAATTGGTGCACTACTTGCAATATTTCCTGTCTGTATTCTATCGACTACACAATCTGGTGAACGTCTGCCCATCTCTCATCTGCACTAACCTGCCAAGGTCTCCTTTCCCACTTTAAGATTTTATCCTTAAGGTAATAGCATTCTGGAATGCACTCTGATTCCTCTTCTGAGTAGGCTTTATGATTTAATCCTTAATTGTCTCATCTTTTTGTTGTAACTCCATTAATCTTTCAAAACTAAACACCTCTGCCTGATCGTCTCAGGTTTTTACTTTACCATCTCATCAAACAGGTTGTCAGCTAAGTGGACCTCAACTCCGTCATCTTTCTCTTTTGTTTTCCCTTTTTGTTTTAACTTATGACTGTGGGGTCTTGTTACCACACAGTCCGGAAAAATTCCAGGGTATTTTTCTTTTAACTCTTCAGTTCCCTGGTTTACTTTTGGCTTTTCCACTACAATGGGCTTCACTCCCACCTGTGATCCAGCAATATGGTTTCCAAGAATAAACTGTATTCCTGGAATAGCCAATTTTTCCATCACTCACACTATCACTTCCCCAGTCTTGACTGGACTTTCTAGCCTTATTTTACACAGGGGAACACTACTCCTTTCTCCGTTTATTCCACATATTACCACTCTCTTGGGAAATATTTCAGAAGGAATACAAATATTTTCATCTCTTACTATTAGAGACTGACTAGCTACCTTATCTCTCAATATTTTAACTTCTTTACTTTTTCCCCAGTTCTACCTGAGTTACTCTTACCCACACAGGTGAAGTCTTTGAAAAGGTTGGGCGTTATCTTACTATCTAGCCTGTGAGTAGGCTGTACACTCCCCTGCAGCCCCTTGACTTCCCTTGGGATTTCCTTCACTATCTCAACTAATCCCACTGGTTTAGCTTCTTTTACCACATCCTTCTCCCCAGTGCCTTTCTTAATCCACCAACTCTGTGACTTGGTGTGTCCCATCCTATTGCAGTGAATCCACCTGAGATCTTGCACCTCTTTTTCACCCTCTTGGGTTTCTTTTTTCACATGTGGTAAACTGTTTCCAGTGTGATCTACTTCTTGTTTTTCATTGAAGGATCTCCATCTTTCCCAATTTCCATCCATCACAGAATGAAGTTGCACTCAAAAGCTAGATTTTGTTTTATGCACAAATATATATTCATCTGCCACCTCTGCAGCTCTTCTCGCTGTTTTAACTTTCTGTTCCTCAACATGAGTTCTTATCACTTCTGGAATTGAGTTTTTAAACTCCTCCAGCAGAATATCTCTAAGATCCTCATGTGTCTTTGCTACCTTTAATGCTTTCACCTTTATCAAAGTTGCTCTGTTTAATACTTTCAAACTCGATATAAGTCTGACCTGATTCCTTTCTTACATTTCTGGTTCCAATTCGTAGGTACACAAAATAGCCTGTTTTACTTCTTTATACATTCCTGACACTTCCTCTGAGAGCACTGCAAACACCTCACCAGTGCTGCCTACCAACTTAGTCTGAATTAACATTACCCACACAGTCTCTGGCCAGTTCATCTGTTTAGCCAATTTCTCAAAGGAAATAAAAAAAGGCTTCTATGTCTTTTTCATCACATTTTGGTAAGGTTTGGACATATTTAAATATATCCCTACCAGGCATTTGGCTACAATGGGTATGCTCATCATCACTATCCTCCTCACTAAGCCCACCTTCTACCTTCACCTCCATCCTGTTACGTTGACTTTCCTGTCTAATTGTCACCTTCTGAAGGTCAAAGTCGCTCTCTCTCCCTTTCTTCTCCCTCCTTTTCTTTTTGTTCAGCTAGGAACCTTCTTTCCCTTTCTTTGTCCCCTAACTCCAGTTGTCTCATTTGCAGTTTAATTTTTTTCTAACTCCACTGCACTTAACTGTTTCTGATATACTTAAATTCTTGACTAACTCCGTCACAATTTCAATTTTCTTATCCTCCCAAGTTAAACCCAATTTTAGCCAATTGTCACCGTCTTCTGCCTTTCAAAATTTTCTTGGCAAATTTGGGAAGCATCTTTGACGCCCAAAACCCTCTTTAGCAATGTTAAGAGCTATTTTCCCAACAACAAGCAACCGAAATTAAGCAGATTTTCCACTTTCACTTACGTTTTATTTAAAGATCTAGGACACTAGTCCCCAATTCTGTTTAAATCTGCTGGGACCTTTCATACCCTAAATCTGTTCAAATCTGTCCAAATCTGTTCATATCTGCCAAATCCTGGATGAACGCCCAATCTTTTATAAAGCGGAGGGTGACTCCCCTCTGAGAGCTAAAACTGAAACACCCAAAGAGGAGCACCTCATCACATAATCTGTAAAAGGAGTGTGTAAAGTGGTGTAACCTGCCTTTCAGCAACTTCTAGTGGTTAAATAAAATAAATCCCTGACACTCGCTTAAAAATCAACAAGTAACAATTCATTTACCTAATTCTAACAGTGAACAAATCAATTAAACTATTAACAAACTCCGTTCTAACTACTAACTATTCCCAAAAAAAAGATTCTAATGGTATGCTATTCTAATAAATAAAAGACCCACTTGTATAAAATAAAAATAGTATTTAGTCTCTCCGAATTATAGCCAGGTTACGTGTCTTCTGGAATGTTCTGTGCTTTCTCCATCGATTCTTCAGTCAGGAATGCCTTCTCTGTTGATGCTTCTGTCAGAAATATTAACTAGTTGTGCCGTGGGTACTTTGTTATTTAGATGGTGCTTTCCCTAAGACATAGACGAGGCTATGAGAGCCAGCGATTCTCTCTCGAGGGCTGAGGGCTGTTAGCTCTGGCGAATGGCAGTTAGCTCGCTGGGGTTTTGTCCAACTGCCCCCTTTTTTATACCCTTGATAGCGTATCAATATTTCTTACAATAGGATTGCTCCCTATGATGTCAAAACCATCAAATTTAATAGGTTTTTTGGGATTTAAGTGCCTGGTTCAAATTGATTGGCTAAATTCTAAAGCTTGTTGTCATGGTAAAAACTGCTGCTTAGCCTGCTACTGTACAGCCTTTTGATACAAATGTTTCAATTTGGATGATCTCTGTGTACTTGCAAACATTCAAACTGCCACTCGCAGACATCCATTTTAACTCTCTAAGCACAGAAAAAGCACATAATCTTTTAAAGGGACCATGCAGTGCTTTCCCCCACTAGCATTTTACTAACACCAAATTCTAACTTCCTGCCTCCCAATCCAGAAGTACTCTACTGAACTTCACAACAAGTGAATGGGGAAATTGTATCATTACCACCTTTAAAAGGTTTTATCCTGAATCTGCTGGGTCATTGTCATCTGCTGTCCCTCAACTTGAGGTCAATGCCTACTCTTTCTGTCGTGAATCCTCATATCACTGAGCAGGCCAGTGCTTAACCCGCAGGTCTTTGGATACATAGAGGAGGATATCATAAGGTCATACCTTTTTCCATCTCTGTTGCTGCTCTGTTCAAATGGTGTGCTGATAATCAACAAGTTCAAACTAAACAAAGTGACTTGAAATGGACTAAAAAACAAAGGTTACAACCAGAGAATGATCTATCTCTCCAAATCCTGCTAACGAAATCTTCAGTTGCAGGATTAAGACAAACGATTGAAACAAGGTGAAAAGATAACCAGACAGAAAAAGGACACATGAGCAACAGCGGCTGAAGTATTACTTACGCAGTAGCATAACAGTACAAGAGAAGTCAAATATTAGATGAGAACAAGAGAAGTAATAAACACGTTCATAGCTGAGGATAAATATTTGGAAAACAAAGAGACTTGAATTTATATAACTTTCACAACCACTGGATGTCTCAAAGTGCTTCATAGCCAATTATATACTTCTGGAGTGCAGTCACTGTTGTAACAATTTGTGCACAGGACGTTCCCACTATCAGGAATATGATAACACTCAGATAACCTATTTTTGTGATGTTGTTTGAAGGTATAAATGTTGGCCAGGACATAAGGGATCACTCTCCATTGGTTCTTTGAAAAAAACGTCACATGGTCTTTTACATTCATTCAGGACACAAATGAGAGCTTGGCTTCTCATCTCATATGAGATCCCAACATTACCATACAGGAGTGCCAGTCTTGATTTGTGTGTTCAAACGCTGGAGTGGTACTTGTACCTGAAACCCTGCACTGCAGAAGCAAGTGTACTACCAGCTGAACCATGAAAGTCAACCATCTAAATGATCGCTTCATTCAACTGTGTGCAGGGATTACATTTGATTACGTTGTTGACTCGAGTCATTTACTACATTAAAGGTGCTATACAAATGCAAGTTATTTTTGTTTCCGACATTAGAACAGTACTGTACTTGAGTACTTAAAGCATTCCTTGTTTTAAATTTTACATAAATGCAAGTCTGTCCAATATATCTTTTCGAAAAATTTCACTTTTCACACTCTTCCTCTGGGTCCTAAATGGTTTTCCAAAGTTGAGGGACAGCAGCACCACTTTCATTGCACGCCACGTGGCTGCGAAGAAGAGTGCACCGTCCCTATCCTGCTGGCGCCACCCTATGGCTGTCTGCGGTGCGGTGGAATGGGGGCGTGTGGAACAAACAAAGAGTCAGGGAAAGGTCGTGGGTAGACACGAGGCGACGTGACGGATGCGGCAGGAGCCTAGCGCCGCTCCAGCGCCTCCTGCCGTGCCGGCGGCGAGGAGGGGCATGGACTCACGGCTCATGCGCAGTGGCGGTGCTTTTGATAAAGCGCATGTGGGGGTGGGGTGGGGAGAAGGAGGCGGAGCTGGGCCGGTGGTTTTTTTTAAATGGAGGCGGTAGAGAGACGGGGGGAAGCTGGGGCGGCGGCAGTACTTGCTGTGGGAGGTGAAGGTAGCGATTCGGTAACGATGAGCTCGGCGCTTTGCAGGCCGTTACCATCCTCGGGGCTCAGGTCTATCTGCGACGTGTCGCACCCGCTGTCGGCGGAGGAGCTGTTATCCCCCGGGCCCGAATCCGAACCCGAACCCGAGCCGGCGGCTGGTGGAGGGGACCAGGTGAGGGAGGGCCCGGTAATCATGGGAGACCGGCAGGGGTAGGAGAGGAATGTTGTGAGGGCTGTGGTAATGGTGGTGAGCATGGGATGGGTGCAAGGGGTGGGGGATAGCGTGTTGGTGGGTTGGGGACCTCGGAATGTTTGAGGAGTGTGCGGTGCGTCCTGGGGGAAAGGGCGGCGGTGGTGGTGGTGGTGGTAATTGGGGGGGAAGAGAGAGATGGCTGTAGTGGGTCGATGAGGAGGGAGAGGGGATGGGTGAGAGTGTTGGGGTTTTGGAGGGGTTGCATAGGGATTGATAGTGTTGGCCGTGTGTTGATTGATTATGTGGCTGAGTGGGTTTGTTTATGGCAGGGGGACTGATGGACTGGGGGTGCCTTGGGCGTGTGGGTGGAGGTGGTTTGTTTTGTGGGTGGGGATATTGGGATGGTATGTGTGGTCTGTGGTTATGGATGAAATAGGCATGGATTAGTTGAGAGGGTGAGGAGAAATTGGGATTGGGGGAATGTGCTATGTTTGGGATCGATGGATAGTAGTGGAGTAGGGTTTTCTAGTATTCTCCTCCAGTAGCATATAGACCAAGATCTTGCATTGCTAATAGCATCACTTCCAAAATGAGTACTTTATTGAGAGGTTGGGTGATATCCTGCAGTGTAGGTGTGCAAATGCTGACTGGGCAAAAGCAGGCCTAACTTGAGAATAGGCAAGGATGCTTGAAAATGTTATTAGTCCTGCAGTGAGATTACATGTGACTGCAGGAGTTGCATTCTCCTGTTCAGTAGGGGATATTTCAGTTTATCTGTGTGGAGCGAGAAAAGGTCAGTACTTCAGGTTGATTTGTTTTCTGCTTGGAATTTGGTAGGCAATCCATTTGTGACTGTTGGTTGAAGTATAGATTTTGGCCCCAGGATACAACTAGGTGCTTGAAATAGTGTAGCTGAGCTTCCATGCTCACTGGGGATATCTCAGTTTAATATCTCATCAGGAATGTGGTTCTTTCTGAGTGAGGTAAAGACTGAGTGTCAGCCTTTTATTCCTATGCAAGCTCAAATCTTTACCACAGATGTTAATCCACAGTCTTCTGATTCACAGGCCCACAGCAGTATATGCTGTTTTACTTCTTCATTTTTTCTTGCAGCCCATGACACGAGGTCAGCAATCTGGAAGTATTTTCTATTGAAACTAATTATCTGAATAACTTTTCAGCAGTAGCTAATAGATTTGCAGTTTGCAATGCCATAGGTACTTGTGTTTGAAGTCTACTACCTGCATTTTGCTTATGTTTCTGCTTTGAACTCCTCTCTCCTGTTTGCACAGAAGGCTGTTTGTTGTGTAAAGTTAAATGAATCTGCAAACTTTATTTTTGCCCAGGGTGCTGCGATTCATTTTGTCTCTTGTATTCTATCTCTCATGCATGTTGAATTAAGTACTGGTTTGGAAATCTATCTCTTCCTTTATGACACTCTTCTTCACCAACCTCTGACCCACTTATTCCTAATATGCTTGTGAAAATCTTTGATCAGTCCTGTTTGCATCACTTTGTGGTAAGTGTTCATTGTTTGCCCTTTTTCTGTCAGTAAAGTAAAAGGGTTAATGATTTTCTGTTAACCTGTTTACAACAGTTTAGCACATGATCAAGAATGTGTTGTGGAAAGCAAAGAACAGTTTTTTCACTTTCTCGATTATAACATCCCACACGTCAGGCTGTCATGTCATCTCTAGTAAAGGTATACATGATGCCTTTCTGGTTATATTTGGGACAGTTTTCTCCTTTCACATTTTTAAATTGTAATAATTACTGATCACTTTACTCAGTGGCCTCATTTCACGTTATCTGTTGGCTTTGCAGATTTTATAATTCAACTCCAACCCCTCCGGATTTCTTTATAGCTGTGCTATTCATGTTTGGTTTTGTCTAAGCTTCGGAACCTCCCCTTGCTGTTTTTAAGATGCTCTTGAAAAACTATCTCCTTAGCAAACCTTTGCCCACTTGTCTGGGACTTCCTTAGTGACTTGGTCATTTTGACAATGCTCCTGCCAAGTGCTCTTGGATGCTTGCTGTGTTGGAGGTGCCTTGAGGTGCCACAGAAACTGGGGTGTTAAAATGGTGTCATTGTAGTCTTGTGGATTATAATTTTGGCCATGTGTTCAATACATTCTCTTGCAAGATAGGCAGTAATATTCCAAAACTCACATTGAGATTACTTTAACTTACGACTACTACTGATGTTAATGGAGTTCAGCTGATGACTAGAAGTATTGACACTAAGTACGAGATCTAAGGTTTTAGTCTAATGCAGTACCATATGTTTGCACTTTGCTTTATTGGAAGAATTTTTACATCTGGTCCACATGAATGTTTAAAAATAGAATTCTTGCAGGATCTCTCTTCCACTTGCTGTATGATAATGTTCCTTAGCTTTCAGTGGATATGGAAAGTTCTTACTAAAAATACCCCTTAGCTTTCATTTAGAAGTCTGCATACATTTCTATGTCTGGAGCTACATGTGTTAGGAAAGGAGTAAATTCCTGGTTGGAGATGCCCATTTCACTTGTGCAATAACTTATTGCACAAATAAGCCATTTTTAATTAAATCAATGGCTTTCCTTATTGCTGTTTAGCATAGTATAGCAGACAATGCCTAACAAACGTTTTCACTAGCTGATGTCACTCAAATGCAGTGCACGATGTTATATTTGTGTAGTTTAAGTGTACTATATCCTGCAGTTTGTGTTGAGGCAGCAATGTGGATATCAACCATTTTATCTTTCTGATTACTGTTCTGTAACTTAAAAAGAAACTACTTAACATTGATAAGTCACTCAAGGCACAAAGTGAATGTTATTTCATTTATGTATGTTTAAAAACACTTCAGTGCACACAAACTTCCAAGTGGCTCAGCAGGTTTATACTGTGAGTAGCTGCACTGTGAAGACAGTAAGGTTCCGCCTGGGCTTCTCCCTGTCTTACACCTCAAATCTCTCTTCCTGTCCCGGTTTATACTGGTCTCTGCTTGGCAAAATTGGCCAAAGATCACCATTGGTCTGATGTGACAAACGTGTACTGCAGCAATGGTATAACGGGAATAAAAGCTTCTTGTGACATCTAGAATTGAACTAGAAACTTGTGCTTCAGGATCTTTGCTGTAAGCTGACATGTTTTTAAAAATGTTTGTGCTTGGCACCAGGAACTACTTTGAGTTGGTAATCCTATTCTGTGGCTGATTTACTAGCTTTTTATTTGTTTTTTTTTCTGGGGTGTATTTGGTGATAGTGGTTGAATTTTCTTGGTTTCCCAAGGCAGAGTTCTCCTGCTTGTCAGAATATCCTGACTTTCACCAGTGGTGTAAAGGTGTCTGTGCTGTTACAATAAAATGTTTTTTAAAACTGTTTTGGATGTTTGCATTGAAGTTAGTATCCACATGTGAATTCACTTTTTGGTCAACAGTACTGTATATTGTTCAGAACCCTCTTTTGTTACACTAAACCCTAACCCACTTGATACTTTTTGTCACTTTGACTCCCTGAGGAACTGGATCATAAAAGCAGATGGGTAAACACATGCTCACAGAATAAGTCTCTTTCTCTGCATGAAATTAATTGGTTTTTTTCGCCACTTAAAGCGCACTATCTTGTCATTACTTTGCAGAAGCCATTCTGAAAAATGGTTGAATTTCAAATTCAATCAAGGAACGCATTATGGCCTCTTGCGGGAGTGATTCTGAAGTGCTGCTGAAGTTCTTGAGTTTAAATAAACACTGAAAGAACTATGGATGCTGTAAAACAGGAAAGAAACAAGTTGCAGGAAAATTTCTGGCAGCACCTATGGTGAAAAATCAGAGTTAACGTTTCAGTTCTGGTGACCCTTCCTTGGAACAGTCCTGGACCTGAAACATTAACTCTGATTTTTCTTCACAGATGCTGCCAGGCCTGCCAAGCTTTTCCAAAAACTCCTGTTTTTGTTCTCTTGATTTTTAAACTCCACGTAATGTATGTTGGAACCTATGCGCAAATGCAGAGCAGCTTCACCGTTCACTTCCAGAAGCTAGGTAAAGATCATGCAAGACAACTAATGCTAAATATTAAGAGCTCTTTATCACTTCTGCGTATTTGGTTGGTACAGGTCTTTGCACTCCTTCATTGTGTTTATATTCCCAAATCTTGCTTCCTTAACTTTGCATCAGAATTGTCTTCTTGAGTTGAGAAGCTGCAGAAAATATTAAGTGCTAGCTGCCAAACTGTGTGTTCTTTGAGCAGTAGGAATGCACTAGGTCTTGTTTTGTTGATGAATAGGGAGTGTTCTAATGTGCTGTGCCACTTGGTCCCCTCTCTCCTCTTACCATCTCTTCTCTTCCCCTCTCCTCTGTCATGCCAGCTGTGTTGCTGTATTCTGTTATCTGCAGTATTTATTTGATTTAATGATTGGTTCCGCAAAAAATACTTGCGGTAACGTCCTAGAAATGCTGAGCAGTTCTCCTAGAGGTGTTTTATGGCAGCGCATATAGTAATATATTTACTATCCAAATGTAATGTGAGCTATAACAGCATATTTAACAATTAGTTCTTGCCTTTTTACTAGAAAGCTGGCAAATTCTGAGATGTGCCTCCACAGCAAGCTTTGTATGTTTTATTCCCTTCTACTCTGTCTCATTTTTGAAACCCAGGGTGAGAAAGGGTTCTCGGAACTACTGCTACAAGACCCTGTGGTCTGCTGCAACCACGTTTTCCACCAATTAATAAAAGCAATAAAACCCATCTTTATTGATCTCCAAGCTTTGACTGATTTCCAAGAACTGCTTGACTTTGTGTAATCAGCAGGTAGCTCGCCATGATGTACGTTAAACTTTTGACCTAATTCCTTGAAAAAACCAGGTTTAATGTAGAAAGAGACAATTAGTGTCTTCCAAATTTTCACAATCTCTTAAATATTGACATGTGCAGGCATATCATAGACAACTCAAACTCAAAATTAAAGAAGGAAGTCATGAATGTTGCAAATATAGC